TTGAGTGCAAGAGAAACAGCGACTGCGTGAATGAATGAATGAAAGAATGAATGAATACATGGCTACATGACCGATTGCACGACGAAACAAAAGACTGAAAGACGAAATGAACAGCTGAATGATAGAATGCGTGAATGACTCACTGGCTGAAGGAATGCATGACTGAATGAGTGGATGGGTGACTGCACGAACAAATGAACGAACGAACGAATGAATGACTCACTGACTGACTGACTGACAGACAGACTGACTGAATACGTGACAAGGTGTATGACTGAATGACTGCATGATTGAACTGAATGACTCGGTGACTGAATGAATGAACGGACGAATGAACGAATGAAGGAAGGAGTGAAGGAAACAGGAAATGAAGGCATGAAGGAATGAAGCAGTGGAGCAATGAGTGAAGGAATCAAGCAATGAAGCCATGAAGGAAGGAATGAAGGAATTGAGGAAGGAATGAAGGAAGGAAGGAAGCAATGATTGATTGATTGACTGACTGACTGGCGGAACGAATGACTGAACTGAAAACTAAATACATTAATGAATGAAAGTATCAATGAATGGTTGAACGGCTGCATGAATGAATGAAAGAACCAACGAACGGGAAAAATCTGCGCCTGAGCGAGGACTAAACGACTGAATGACTGAAAGACAAACTGAATGGACGAAGCACTGATTGACTGATTGGCTGATTGACAAAAAGCGAACAACGAAAGACGGAATGACAGACTCAATAGAAGAATGAATTAATGGATGAATGAAGGAATGGATGGACGGATGGATGGATGGATGTATGATTGCATGAAAGAATGACTTTATGACAGAATGACTGCATGACTAAATGACTAGGTGAACGAATGAGCCAAGGACTGAATGACGGACTGACTGACTGAATGAATGCACGAATGAAGGGATGAATACATGAATGAAGGATTGATTTCATGAAAGAAAGAAATGAAAGATTGAATGAACGACTGAACGAAACGCTAACTTGCTGGATGATGGGACGACTGGCACTCTGCCTGACTGACTGACTGAATGACTGAATGAATGAAACAAAGACTGAATGATTGAATTCTGAATAAAGGTGCGAACAGAGAAATGGCTAAAAGACTGAATGCTTGAATGAACGGTTGACCGGACGAACGAACAACTAAATGCATGACTGAAAACATGAAACAAAGAACGCATGAATGACTGAATGAACGAATGCATGATTGAATGATGACTGGAGACTAAATAACTGAATGACTGAATGTCGGCATGACTGACTGAATGACGGCATGACTGACTGGATGAACGGATGCATGAAGGAATGAATGAATGGATGAATGGATGAATGGATGAATGGATGAATGGATGAATGGATGAATGGATGAATGGATGAATGCATTAAATAAATGAATGGATGAATGGATGAATGGATGAATGGATGAATGGAGGAATGGATGGATGGATGGAATGAATGAATGAATGGAGGAATGGAGGAATGAATGGAATGAATGAATGAATGAATGAATGGATGGATGGATGGATGGATGATGGATGGATGGATGGATGAATGAATGAATGAAGGAATGAAGGAATGAAGGAATGAAGGAATGAAGGAATGAAGGAATGAAGGAATGAAGGAATGAAGGAATGAAGGAATGAAGGAATGAAGGAAAGAAGGAAAGAAGGAATGAAGGAATGAAGGAATGAAGGAATGAAGGAATGAAGGAATGAAGGAATGAAGGAATGAAGGAATGAAGGAATGAAGGAATGAAGGAAGGAAGGAAGGAAGGAATGAAGGAAGGAACGAACGAAGGAACGAACGAAGGAACGAACGAAGGAACGAACGAAGGAACGAACGAAGGAAGGAACGAAGGAAGGAACGAACGAACGAAGGAACGAACGAACGAAGGAACGAACGAACGAAGGAACGAACGAACGAAGGAAGGAACGAAGGAACGAAGGAACGAAGGAACGAAGGAACGAAGGAACGAAGGAACGAAGGAACGAAGGAATGAAGGAATGAAGGAATGAAGGAATGAAGGAATGAAGGAATGAAGGAATGAAGGAATGAAGGAATGAAGGAATGAAGGAATGAAGGAATGAAGGAATGAAGGAATGAAGGAATGAAGGAATGAAGGAATGAAGGAATGAAGGAATGAAGGAATGAAGGAATGAAGGAATGAAGGAATGAAGGAATGAAGGAATGAAGGAATGAAGGAATGAAGGAATGAATGAATGGTTGAATGAAATGTTGAATGAAGGAATGAAGGAATGAAGGAGTGAGTGAATGAGTGAATGAGTGAGTCCGTCGAGTGAGTGAGTGAGTGAGTGAGTGAGTGCATGAATTAATGAATGAACTTCAAGAATGCAAAAGGAAGCGATGAACAAACGAAAAACTATGACTAAGTAAATGAATGACTGACGGAATGAATCAAGGAATGAAAGATGACACGATTTAAAGAAAATGCTAATTTGTTGAGAAAGCCCTGAGCAAAAACCTGCCTGGCTTAATGGCTGAAGGCCTGAATGACTAATGAACGAATGGACGAACGAGCGCAAACCTGTGCGACTGAAGGACTGACTGACTGACTGCCTGCCTGGCTGAATGGATGAATGGATGCACGAACGAATCCACGATTAAACCTCTGAATGACTGAATGGCTGATTGAATGCATGCATGCATGGGTGGGTGGATGGATGGAGGGATGGATGCAGGTGTGCATCTGTCTTTGCTTGCTTGCAACCATGCATGCAAGATGGTGCTGTGTCATCTATGCCGGACGAGATCAAACTAGCTCAAGGTTGGACCAGCCGGCATTGGGCCATGATGGCTGACGGTCTGAAGATCAAGGGTGCAGATACAAACTCGTAATACATGGGCCTTGATAACTACCAATGCTATTTCGGGAGTTCCTTATGATAACTACAGTACAATTTACCCCAAAACCCTACTCTAATTATTAAGGCCCCTATATTATAGTACCTTCATCGTAGCCCTTATAGTAGTCCAGAATACCCTTTAAAAGGAACACTGTTCTCGTTATGAAGGCCCCTATATCTATACTTATTAAGGCCCTATATTAAGCTCTGCTCCGGGCCTTCTGCCCTCCTGGCAGCTGAACCACCCACTTCGGACCTGCACGGGGCTTCCAGCGAGCGGGTTTGAGCGAGCGGAAGCAACGAAAGCAGGCGAAATAAGGAGGTTTAGGGTTTAAGGGTTTTTTGTTTGTTTTGAACGCCTCTTTTTCCGTCTGCCTTGGTAAAGGGGTCGGGAATGCGGGTTTAGGGTTTAGGGATTGAAACAATCTTATCGTGCTCAGCTTTAGTCATCCCCAACCAACAAACAGCAGGGCCAAAAACATTATCCCAAAAGTTTTCCTGTACCCGAAAGCCCTAGTCCCCGAACCCCCCACAGTGGATTCTGCAACCCCCCCTCTTCGGCCTTCCGAATGAAGGATCGTCACCGTCCTGATGGAGGTGTCGCGTTTATAGTTAAGGCTTGGGGCGTCGGGATTTTTCGGGGCAGAGGGGGGGGGGTCAATGCTTTGCGAATTTGAGGCTTTTTGGGGTCTACTGCTTCAAGGCTTCTGGGTTCTACTTAGAGGTTCATAGTTCATGGTACTTAGTACCTAGGGTTATAGATAAGGCAACTATACTTATATTTGGTTATATCCCCAGTTAAGGTACTTATAACTGTACTTACTAAGTCCCATGAACCTCCAAGTAATACTTCAAGGATTTTAGGCTTCAGGGCTTTGGGAGATTTACAGTTCAGCTCGGGTTTCGCGTTTCAGGGCATACGGGATTGAGCTACTAACTATCGCCGGCGATTTGCTTAGATTGTCGTAGGTCACCCATCCAAATGGGCTTTGAAGGCATTTTCTCTGCACCGGATACCCATGCCAATGTAGCCCTTAACCCAAAACCGGGGCACCAAATGCTTAACTCATAACTTCGGGGACCATAGTCGACTAATTACCGCACCCCCCAAAACCAGGACTCCTAACGCAAAGTCCGAGATCCAAAGAAGAGGCTCGAGACGAGGCCCCACAAGCAAAAAGCCACACGAGATCCGAAGCCATGATCTAATGTAATATAGGAGCCTTAAGAGTTAGGATCGGGTCTTGGGGCCATTATACTATACTTATAATAAGGAACCCCCCAAAATAATCTAGGTAATTATTAAGGTCCCTATAGCAGGTATTGGAGTGCCTGTTGGTTTGTTTGCGCGTTGCTCCTGTGAGCTCTCAGGAACCATCACGCCACACTTTTAGAAACTGTTTGCAGCAACGGTTCAAAGCGCTCTGCTGCATAATATCAACAAGGCTTGAGGAATCAAGTGACTTCGGAGACTAATGGGAAACTTCTTGAGGCCAGTGCATTGAAAACGCAGAAGTTGTGCTACCACAACCACCAGCTAATCTAATGTAGGGGCGTTAATACTAGAACAGGGTTTTGGTGATTCCTTTTCCTTACTATGATTATAGTATAATATACCCCAAACCTTATGCTAAGATTAATTCAGGCCCCCATATTAGGGTTTCGGTTTGAATCTTTAAAGTGTGGGGTTAAGTTTAGGGTCTGGGGTTCGGGGTTTAGGATTTCTTCTCCATCAGCTATAAGCCCTAGGCCCAAATCCCGGTATGCTTTGGATCGCCGAAACTGTGCTTAAACTGTACTGCAATCAAGTATCAGGCCGTTGAACTTCTCTGCACCTGCCTGCCGATGGACAGCGGTTGAAGGCTGAGCCGTCTGTTGGATTTCGACAACTTTTCGGGAGCCCCGAACTCTGCTTCTTTTGACAGCTCTGTGTTTGTGGTACACAAAGCGTTTATCACGCACTTCATACTTGTAATTCGCACTGAAAACCTGGGTGTCCAGGTAAGATTCGTGAAACTTCGGCAACCACCGCAGGTACGTGCGCACCATGCCATCACGAACGAAATGCAAACTTACGACAAAGGGTTCTCATTAGAAACAATCTACTTTCGACTTTGCTCCGGTCATTGTCGAATCGATACTGCAGCATTTTGCTGAAAGTCCCACATGTCCCTGTGCACACCGAACCTTGCGGAGAGCTGTAAGGCGCGCCGCATAGCCAGGAGCCAGCACCAAAGGACGTCTTGGTCGCGGCGCCTCCTGGTCTTGATATCCAAAGGGCTTAGGGTTTAGGGTGTGTATACAGCTAGCGCTTTTCTAGAAATGCGGGTGCGCCACTTATCGCGCCCTTTGTGTCAGCATGTAGCCCCGCCCCAACCACCCCAACTATCCCCATTTAGGGTTTAGGGTTCACCCCCCTGACCCCCTTCAAGGGTTTTCTTGCTTTTTGTTTCCTTTCGTGGTTCTGCATACGTGAACGTGTCAGATGGATTGGTGTCGGGTTGCGGGTCGTCGCGGGCTGTGCCGGCCGCTCGACGAGAAGCAAAGGTCTCCAACAAACAACCCGCCCCTCGTCGAAGTGTAGACACTTGTTTTGGGCAGAAATCGAACTGACGGCCGGAGTTCGGCAAGAGGTTTTCGGAAAATTGGGGGTCGCCCCGATGTCGCCCCTAGGACCGGCCCAGGAATGCCCTGGAGTCTCGAGAAGGAGCTGGAACTGGAGCTGCCAGCCTGGCCCCAAACGTGGGCGGGACCCAAAGCTTCGGGGCACCCAGGTCAAACCAAAGTCCCCTAATGGTACTGGGGGTCTTTCTTTTGGAGCAGAAAGGTCACTGGCGGGGTGGCTTCAGGAGGCTATATCCTCCCTCCTATATTAAAGCTCCCGAAGAAGAGCAGACCCTAAACCCCTATAGATCCGTGGATCCCTTGTAGAACCCTCTAAGGAACCCCTTTAGAAAGGGTACTACTCAGAAGAAGAGCCCCGGCTCCTCATCCGACTCATCTGTGCCGGAACCGTCCTCGTCCTCGTCCTGCCCGTGGCGATTTCAAGGCAAAGTCCCACACGCGAGTTAAAAAAAATGGGGGCCTTAGAATAGGGTTCCCTTTAAAGGGGGCTTATGAGGGCTACTAGAAGGGCTACCGTGAAGGTACCATAATAGAGGGGCCTCAAGGATTAGAATAGCGTTCCTCTTAAAGGGCTCCTTAGAGTAGGGTTCCTTAGAACAGGGCTCCTTTCAATAAAGAATTCCTTTAAAGGCTATGATAAGGGTCTAGGGGCCTCAATAATCAGAATAGGGTTCCTTTAATTGGTTCTTATAGAATGGTCAATACGGGCTACTACAAGGGTACCATAAATATAGGGGCCTTCATAGCGAGAATAGTGTTCCTTTTAAAGGGTATTCTGGGCTACTAAAAGGGCTACTATGAAGGTACTATAATATAGGGGCCTTAATAATTGGAATAGGGCTTTGGGTTATATTAAAGTATAACTAGTATAAGGAACCCCCCAAAACAGTATTGGTTATAATACTCCTACTTCAATCCTAAGCTTCTGAAACCCTACACCTTAAGATAAATCCCTGAAGCGGTTTGGGGTTTAGGGTTAATTAGGGTCCCAAAGCCCTGAGCACTGAATGGGAGAAGCCACACCCCAAAGAAGCAGGCACTTCTTGCGGCTTAGAGGGGGGCAGAGCTTCAGGGCTTGAGGTTTAGGAGTTTAGGACTTGGCAGTTTGGGGTGTCTTGATTTCAAGCACCCTGTAATGTCAAAGCAACAGGATGCTAGAACTGCGAGAGCCATCAAGGGCTCGGCACCGAAAAGCTGGCAAACACTACTTCAGGGTGTTTAAGGTTCAGGCTTTCGCCGAGCCTTGCGGCACTAGCCTTTCCGTGAAGGATTGGGTGCGGAGGTAGGTGCATGTAGATCGACGTAAGATCATGAGTCATCAGCAGAATGAAGTAGGCCCGGAAAACAAACAACTTGAACCTGAACCCCTAATCATTTCCTTTCTGAATGGGGGATCTTGGCTATCGACTCAATTAAGCACCTGCCTCTATACCCGCCTTAGAACCATAACAAAAATGACTTTGCTAATATTCTCTTGGGGTCGATATGAACCAAAATAAAAAAAACAATTCCTAAGGAGACTATAGTGGCTATTGACTCAATGAAGCCCCTGCTTTACACCAAGCCCTATGAGCAGAGTTCAAATGAAACATAGAGCCTTGTATCACCCCTACAAGCCCTAATTACACACCGGTGTAGGGTTTAGGGTTTAAGTGCCCTGCTCACAAATCCCGAAAACAATGCAAAACCTTATAAAATCGATGTGAGCCCCACCATGCAAGGAATTAGTGGACATCCCTGAGTGATGACTTCCGCTTATGAGGATTATAGTAGGGATGCTGAGATCATGTCCTGTAAGGAAACAGGTTCAATCAGGGGTCCACATTACAAGTGACTGTCGGCCTCCGTGTCTGCCTCAGCATCCAGCATGGACAAGGGAACCTGACAAATGCCACCCGGGTTCGGGGTTTGGTATTTGGGGTCTCGTGTTTAGGGCTTAGCAAGTGTCCAGCAAGGTGCTTGCCTCAGTACTACATCCAGGAAATTAGTCCGCAGCAGACTGTAAGATCACCTTGACCCTACCCATAGGCCCCATAGTAATTCCTTTTGGGGATTACCTTAAGATACAAATTGTACATATGAACCCCCACAAGGAACTACTATGGGGTCGATGGGTAAACGCCGACTTTTCCAACACTGAACCGGAAGCCGGATGAAGGCCTCAACTCTGAACAAGGCCGCCGCTCAAACCCACTTGGGTGGTTGTCAAAATTGTGGCCCCTTTTTTGGGGGTATGCGAAATAATAAGTGCCGTAATGTAATGGGGACCCAAAAAGGGTCCATAATTTTGACAACCACCCACTTAGAGCATCTGGAGCCACAGTAACCAAGTACGGGAATCCGGCATAGAAGCCATTAGAATTAGAGATGCCTTACCTATAAACCTATACTCACTAGTACACACTAAGTCCCACGATCCGCTAAGCACCACCCCTTAAACCCTAAACCCCTAAACAGAACCCTATTGACCCTATTGGCGAGATCCAGCTCGAAACGTGGACTTCCGGGACTCACAAACGAGTGAAGGGTCAAGGGTTTAGGGCCTTGAAAGCCTTTGAAGAATGCTTGTAAGCAAGATCCTCTTACTCTCAGGCCCAAGAAGGGGAGACAGAAGATGTCCCAAAGGCCTACCTAGTAACCCCTAAACCCCAAGCCCCCTAAACCCTACCTGTTACCCAAAACTTGACTTCCCAAGAGCCAAGAGCGCAAGCAGCCATAAGAGCCTCATCCGATGAATTCTGTACCCCAGGACCCCCGAAGGCCCAAACCCGAAGAAACCCAAACAGGCCTTCCCTATGCCCGCCCCAATCTCTAACCGCAAAATCTAAACCCAAATGCATGCCCCAATTCCATCTAAACACTCTCAAATTTTCATGAAGCCCTCATAAAGCCTTATATACAGCCCTTACAACATGTTTCAGTACGATCTTATATAAGAACCATTGCCCTATACCCTAGACACTAAACCCTTGAACTCCAAACCTAGTTCATGGTGGGGGTAATACTGAACATCTGCATTAATGTAATTTATGATTGGGTTTCAGCACCTGGCCTATAAATAAGAATGCAACGTGCTACCCAACTATGACAAAGTAAATCTTAAGCCCTATACCCCTGAACTGCAAAGCCGAAGCCCTAAACCCGTAAACCCTAAACCCTAAACCCCTAAACCCTAAACCCTAAACCGTAAGCCCTAAACCCTAAGCCCCTAAACCCTAAACCCTAAACCCTCAACCCTAAGCCCTAAACCCTAGGCCCTAAACCCTAAGCCCCTAAACCCTAAGCCCTAGGCCCTAAGCCCCACCCGGCCTTGTGCTTCATCTCCTCCATGGCCAAAGCCGCCGGATCTTCGGCGGCAACGGCCTGGCTCCGAGTTTGTCCGGAGTCGAAGCTTTATGGCTGAGGTTTCTGCGAATAAGGGGCTTGAAAAATTTACCATAACTACAATAAGGAACAGCCAAAATAGTATAATGGGTAATTATTGAGCCTCTAGGTTATGTCGATTTCGTAAGGTTTTATCTAGGGTCTTGGGCTGAGGATTCACCCCAGTCAGCACACACCTAGCAGCGAGATCCACCGAGTGAAAAACCTTGGGTCTTTTGAGGGTTTTTAATGAAACCGAAAATGTGGGTGGTTAGAGGGCCAGGGTTTCTCAATCAGGGTACTACATGATGATCTAAACTACAGTCATGTGTGTGCTGCGACTCAACGACGGTTCACAGGGTTTGCTTCCAGCAAGGACTCAGAAGGCACCACTACTTAGACACATAGTGGCGCGTTCGGAGAGGAAGAATGTAGACACCATTCATCTTTGCTCTAAAAAGGAGGATGAAGCCTCGACGAAAAAAGTGAAAAAACCAACTCCTGCAGGGTGACTGGTGACATCCTGTGGGCATGGACCCCAAGCAAGTAGAATCGTCGAAAAGGTGAAGAGGTCCTGACGTTGACATTACGGCGGGAGATAATAAAGGTAATGTTGATGAGGGTGATGATGATGATGCTGATGATGCTGTTGATGAGATGATGATGACGACGACTATGCTGCCGAGAACGATTGTCAAGGCACTCGCTATGGAAGATGGTATTCAGAAAACTGGAGGAGGAGGAGGAGGAGGAGGAGGAGGAAGAGGAGGAGGAAGCCTATTGAAACACTCTGAAGCATGGCTGCGGATATTCATGACATGTAGCTATGGCTAGTACAACTTTCAGCCGCAGGACAACTGTAGCTAGCAGTTTTCTTGGCAGGTCTGTTCAAATTAGACCACGTAGAAAATGCATTAGTGCGTCCACCTTGGTCTCGTCCACCTCCTTGTCGCTGTCATCTTCGTCATCCTCAAGTGGAAAATTAGGGGTCCTTATCTCGGGGTCCCTTATAACAAGGATCCTACTTTTTAGGAAACTATGTAAGGGTCCCCTAGTTTCGGAAACTTCCAAATCAGCACCCCAAGAGTTTGAACTATCAAAGATCCACCCCTGTTCTAAGGCGAGTGCGACCAAGTCCCAAACCCTCCCCCACCCCCGCCCAAACCCTGCAACCCTAAAATTCAGAGCCCTGAAACCCTAAACCCGAAATTCTGAGACTTATAGAACCCTTATAGATCCCTTTTGGGGATCTCTGAAGAGGAAGCTTTTTGGGGAACCGCAGACCCCTAAACCCCGCTTTCCCGACCAAGGATCCTCCACCACTCCTTTGTCGCCGTGCTTGTCCGTGAGTGAACCTTTCCCGCCCACTAAGGGTTTAGGGTTTAGGGCTTAGGTTTCTTTGTTTTGTGAGGGCTAGGGTTCAGAGTTTAGGGTTTAGGGTTTATGGTAGAAGCCCCAAAGTTGGAAAACCAACATCCTCAGTCCTCAAGAGTAATGTAGAGGGAATCCCAGCACTCTTTGGCCTTAATCCGGTTTCCAGCTTTACGGGGTTTACTGTAGGGCGGGTTCAGGTTGCGGAGTTTTGGGTTCAGGGCGGGTGACGGCTGAGGATTTAGGGTTTAGGGTTTAAGGGGTAGCTAAACCTGTCAGCCCGATAGCCCAGTGAAGGAACAAGTACTCTAACTACACGAACCCACCGTCTAGCATCACAAGATACGGTTGATGACATAAATCCTGCATTGCCTGAAGGTGTATTCCTTATTACGGGCAATGCAGGATTTATATCATGAACCGTATCTGAGCTCGTGGATCTCTGGTTTAAGGTTTCAGGGCTGCTGGGTTGGAGTTTCAGGGGTTTAGGGCATGAGATTGCGGAGTCAAGGCATTTGGGATGAAACCAGTGCCCACAAGAGCAAGGATGGGTGTTGTCACGGCAACAGCGCATATGGGAGTTTCCGAAAATTAGGGGTACCTTCTTTTGGGGTCCTTAGAATAAGGATCCTAGTATTTAGGGTAATTACTATATGAGGGTCCCCTATTTTCGGAAACTCCCATATGCGCATGTGCAAGAATACCTCTTTCTGGCTGGTAAGGCCAGCACCCGCGATGCTCTCGACTGGCTCCGATGCCGTCGGCGGCCTTACGGTAGCTTTGGCGCACAGGCTTCATTGATAGCAATTTGAGCAACGGCAACACGGCTTTGAGGAGGCCGGGATTGGAAGACGAAGATCCTGAATCTGAAGGCCCTCTACTTGGAGGATCATGGGACTTAGTAAGTAGGGTTATAATTAGGGTAACTATACTTATAATTACTTATAACCCCAATTAAGGTACTTATAACTCTACTTACTAAGTAAGCCCCATGATCCTTTAAGTACCTGCAAACCCCAAGTTACCGCCCCGAAGATGCAGCGGAGTTGCGACACTAGAAGAGGATCCTTGACGTTTCCGGTCCGCGGGTCCCACCTTGGGTTTCGGGTTTAGGGTTTAGGGTTTCGGGTTTAGGGTTTAGGGTTTAGGGTTTAGGGTCTGGGGTTTGGGGGGTGGAGGTTTTCTAAGGTAATACGGGGACAAGTCAGCAGGAGGGGGCTTCGTGGTGCACTATCGCATACTTGTGCAGGAAATGGAGTACTGAAATGGCATTGGCATGTTTTGAGTATTGAAGTACCTTTGCTTCCTTGGCTCGTGTCTGTTCGGTTGCAGGATTTCTCGCATGTTGGGTTTCGTTAACCCCTGTTAAACCGACTCGATGGAAAAACCCGCACGGTTCCCCAATCGCCCTAAAAAGCCCCGTGAGCAGGATCTAGCATGTGCTTAACCTTGCCTTTCCTTGCCAATCTAATATAGGGGTCCTTAATCATTAGAATAGAGCAGTACTTGAATCTAATATAGGGGACCTTAATCATTAGAATAGGGTTTTGGGGTATACTGCCATATTTAAAACAAGGAGCCCCCAAAATAGTATTGGTAATCATTTAGGCTCCTATATTAGCCGTCGCCGAGCCTTGCAACGGCATGGGGCTGGAGTCCTAATCCCTAAACGGCTCTGCTCCTCAGAAGTCCCAGAGACTCCAATATCCCCTAACTATGGAATATACCTTAAATTATAGTAGGATCCCTGATATGATTAAGGAATATTCCTTAATTAAGGGATATAGAAGTTTCTGGGGTCTTCTCTGGCCTCCCTAGCACTGAAGACTTCAAGCCTTGAGCCCTAAATCCTAAACCCTAAGCCTTGAAGCCTAAACCCTAAACCTTAAACCCTGAAGCCTAAACCCTAAACCCTGAACCCTAAACCCTGAAGCCAGGCTATGCCAGACCCTGTAAGGACAAGGAGGCTAAGAGCTTAGACAAAGACCATCATTGTAACTTGACTCCATCACATCAGGCAGGGATAGAAGAGCATACTGCATCATGTGGGTAGTTCTCTAAATTAGGGTCCATTTTGCGGTCCCTTTTTTAGGGGTGCAGTGCCGTACTATGCTGGGGACCGAAAACGGACCCTAACTTAGAGAGCTACCCATGCGTTGATGATGGGCGAAGCCGCTCGGAATGAAGTTCGTGAGACCCCTGGGACCCCAAGACGCCTTACTGTAAGGGTTTAGGGATTTGGGAATAGTGTTTGTGTCGGCAGGGCAATGGTACTAGTGCGAATGATACCAAACAGGCTTCGGAGTTCACGGTTCTGTAATTCAGAAATAACCATGTTAACATAAACGTGGACAATAAGGGCACCGGATTAAGGCCAAATAGTGCCGGGATTCCCTATACATTACTCTTAAGGATTGAGGCTATTGGGTCTCCATCTTTTGGGCTTCTACTGTAAACCCCAAACAATCATCAGACGAATCACTGGCACAACAGCAACGACCGTACTAACCCGAAGCTGCTAAGCCTGAAACCCGGAAGCCTCTGCCCCTAATCGCCTAAGAATAGTAGAGAGGCTTTAATCACTACAAAAGAAGTTGCGGCATGCTGCACTGTCCTCAGATACAGGAAGGAAAGCTTACAAGGTAAGAATACTACGACTTTCATAAAAATTCTGCTCCCTGCAACTTAAACACTTGCTTAACCTCTAAACCGTGAACCCTGCCCTGAACCCTAATTATATAAACCCTTAACCCTGAACCCTGAACCCTAAACCCTGAACCCTAAACTCTGAGCCCTGAACTCTGAGCCCTGAACTCTGAGCCCTAAGCCCTGAACCCCAAGTTACGTTCTGGGGTTTGCCGGCACGTGGCTGCAGCTTCCTCGCCTTCGCATCCAAGATTTCGAAGCCCTGCCTTGTCTTCGAGCTCTTTGTGGGAGTGTAGGATTCCTAGAAAGGGTTCCTACTGTTGATCATGTAAATCCTGCATTACCTTAAGGACCCCAAACTGTGGGAATTATGGTGTATTCCTTATAATGCAGGATTTATATCATCAACCGTATGACGGCTCCTATAAAAGGATGGTGGGGGTGCAGGGCTTAGGGCTTATAGGGTTTAGGGTTTAGGTTTCACGGCTCAGGGGTTTAAGGGTCCAGGGTTTGGGGTTCAGGGGTCTAGGGCTTTAGGGGTTCAAGATTTGGAGTTTTGTTGGTTTAGTGGCTTTGTGTTTTGGGGGCTTGGAGGTTGAGGTGTTTAGGGGATTCGGGTCCAGGGCTTTGAGTTTAGGGTCTTTGGGGGTTTAGGGCTTTCGGGGCATATGCGACCTTCAGAAAGGAAGGCACTAAGTGCCTGCTGCTGTTTGGAAAAACGGAGGTCTCGGAATGGTAGGTGCACCTTTTGAGCGGCCCTCGTGCCTGGGGGAGGGAACTTAGCGAGGACAGCGCGCAGGAACCTGCCACATGCCACATGTTTTCTTAACACACTAAGGAGCCTCCATAGGGTTTAGGGTTTAGGGGGCCTAAACCCTAAACCCTTTAAACTTTAAACCCTAAACTCTAAACCCTAAACCTGAAGAAGGAGCCCCAATAACATAGAACCCCTGAATGATACGATCCTTCAGTGATAAGATGCTTGCCACAAAGAAGAACAAACAGGGCCCCCCAGCATTCAAGAACCCTAATCCCTCAACTCCCAGGCGGTACAGTGGACCCATCACCGCCACCGACCCCTGCACGCCTAGACCCCTAAGCATCCCCAACAACTGTGTGCAATCCAAGGAGCAAGTAGATCCTGAGCTACAACACACAGGGTCAGGCCATCCGGTTCATCGAGGTTGAGTCTTCAGCTTGGGGTCAAGCTTTCAAGACCTACACGTACATGAAGCCCAAGGCCACGCACTAGGAGCGGCTGCAGCTTGCCGGAAACAAGTGCCTGAATTCTGAAGCCGATTGGAACACTGCAGACCTGAATCCCCGAACGCACAAACTCCTTTATATAGGGGCCTTATTAATTACCTGAATTTTTTTGGTAGTTCCTGATTATAAGTACAATATACTCGGCCCCCAAATCATATTCCAATTATTAAGGCCCCTGGTTTCATCCCCCAACCACGAAACCTACCCCGAACGCTCCAACTCTAGCTCCTGCCCAGATACGTGTTCGTGGTGTGGTACTTTTGGTGCTTTGGCCAGGCACGTTGCGCGACATAGTAGTCCACCTTCCCGTTTAGGGGTACTGGGGCTTTGGGCTAGGGTTTTGGGTTACTTGAGGCTCTACGATGGACAGACCCTAAGCCCCAAACCTTTGACCAGAAAGCTTTGCTAGATGATGCAGGGCCCCCGGCCTGATAGTAATAGCATCCCCTCAGCCCCGGGGTGGTGTAGGGGTTGAAGTGACAGCAGCAATGGTACTGGTAGCGATGGCGGTAGAGCTCATCATGGTGGTAAGTAGTAGCGCAAGTTGGATTGTCATGTCAGTTGAGCAGTGGCGCCACCTGAGCAGTCGCCACTAACAAAACGTAAAGGCATGTCATGTCATGTCATGTCGTGTCGTGTCGCGTCGAGTCATGTCGTGTCAGGTCATGTCATGTCATGTCGTGTCGTGTCATGGCATGGCATGGCATGCATGGCTGCTTGAGCAGCGCCTGGCACCTCTTGAAGAGCGGGTACAATACTCAGTGTGAGGGCTTGCGATGTGCTCGAAGCTCCCCGTTCGGTTCGTCTCTGATTGCTGAGATGTGCAGTGCATGAGGGGTTCTTGTGTAGGGTGCTCGGCGAGGATTCTGGCATTTTTTGCGGCCAGACTCGAACTGATGTTACTATAGGGGCCCCAGTAATTAGAAAAGGGTTTTGGGGCCCATTATACTATACTTATAATAAAGAACCCCGAAAAAAGTGTAGTTAATTATTTAGGCCCCCTTTAAAGGAACCCCCAGAATAGTATTGGTAATTATTCAGGCCCCTGCAGCATGGTCTCCTGCCTCCGATGCAGTTGGCGCATCGCGGCCCAGCAGGAAGCCACCACACAGAAGCCTGCGCCGACAATTGGGTTCTTGTTGCGGGATTTAACTTAAGTCACCATAATCAAGAAACCCCATGGATCCCTATTATAGTAACTTCAGTTACCATAATAAAGAAACCCTATTCATTATAGATCCCTATTCTAGTAAATTAAATTGAACTCCTTAGACAACATCCGAGAGAAGGTCGACTAGTCTATGAAAGCCTAGAAAAAGCGCGATCAACCTAAACTTGGATCAGCCATAAACTGCTTGGAGGTTCATCAGTAGTTATGGCAATGTTTATGAGTCCCCCAATATACGCTAAAACTACTGTCGTCCTACTTATAAACCATGCTTTAAAGCTACCGATGAACCTCCAAGTGAGCCGTGTTTGCAATCTGCACGCAGCTGGCAAATTAGTACTATGTGCAAACACGGATGAATCTACCTGAACCGCAAAATCTCCCCAAACACCTGACAGCATCGATGGATTCGCAAAGGCAACAAGACAAGTGCAACAAAAACCATCAGTTTGTTGAACGAAGCTTTGTATAACTCCTGCAATGCCGTCCTCCCGACAGGGCCTAGCCTCTGCACCCTCGCGGACACAGCCATGAGCAGCAAGGCCGCCCCAAAGAGCCTCAAAACCAACTTGACATCTGCAGCATCACTGCATGTTCTACATCAAAAAACAGACCCAAGCGCAATAAAAGTAGAAATCACAAGCCAGAAGCCCCCTCTTTGAAGGCCGGCTGTCAGCCGGCATGAAAAGTGGCCGTGGGCCGCTCTAGACTCTAGACCGACAATGAAACATGAACCACAACAACCCCGAAGGCCCCCCACCACCTAATGAAGGGGCCTCAATAAGACTAGGGGTTTGGGATATGCTATACTAGAGGAAACCCAAGATAGTGTTTGCATTTCTTTGAGCCCCTATGTGAGCCCTCTCAAGGGTTCCGGAAGGATTCCTTGCCTTGAACCACCCTCACGTAAGGATCCTATAACAGTCCCTTTTTTGGTCCCTAGCATAGTACGGCACCTATTATTTAAGGTACCCAAACAAGGATCACCACCTCGTAGTGCAGACAACGCTGCGGCAGAGTAATGAAGGCGGACCAGGACCCCTCTTCCTGGCTCCGAAACCCGAAAAGGTTGCCAGGGTACCTACCTATAGTCTCCATTGTAGTTCCTGTTTTTGATTTAACCAATATTATATTAAGGATCCTAAAAGGTAACCCCAAAAAGGTTCGGGGTTCAGGGTTTACGGTTTGCCGTAGAATGCCGCGCAATCCCTGCCCCCGGCGCTGCTTGCATAAGAAAGCTTCACTAAGAGCAAAAAACCATGGAATGGGTTCGGAGCTAAACCCAGCCGAAATGGGTTTGGGTGGTTTGGCTACCTCAGACTGCGTGGAGTGGGCGAAGCGGTCAGGCGGGGCTGGGCAGGGGCCAAGGGGTGAAGGCCAGGGAGGTCCAAAAAATGGCAAAGCACAGAAAATCCCAGGTCTCCCGGAAGGTCCCCCCGTCAAGTACCAATACAGCGATGTGCCTAAGCGAGCATCATTGAATGCCCTTTTGCAGCTCATGGGCGAGCGCATGAGCATTGGGGATGAGCATTGTTGGGTTCCAATCCGAGCATCGTGAAAGCATCATTTGGGTGCGCAATCGGCACCTGTGAGCGAGCATTGCAAGCACCGCTGAAAACCCCAGTGGAACCGCTAAGCGAGCATCATGGGCATCATTGGGGGCACGTTTCTCCACTTAAGGGCTCCATTCAAGGGCGGTCTGAAACACCACCTTTACACACCCAAAAACACCACGCCCAGCTCCCCTACACCGTGTTTGCAAGATTCGGATAATAAGAGCCTCATCTAGCCCCAAAGGCTAGTTTGCGTGATTTCGGTGTAATCACATCATCCTATGGTTAAGTTGTAGTAAGGAACACTCAGGGATGGTGTCAACAACGACTCCGACCCCGATCATACTCTGCTCCTATAGCTGCTTGGATCGAAATCCCCAATACACCATGACATGTTCGAACCTACCATCATATACTATAGTATACCATAAGATACCATACGAGTAATATGCCACAAAAATGCCGCTCTAAGGCCCTCCAAAAGTGCACAATATCTGCGATTGTGCTCCGGCCGCAATGCCACGGGTGTTCTTGGGGGGTACATCGTCTTTCCCCGTAAACCCTGAACCCGAAACCACAAAGCCTAAACGTTAAACCCTGAACCCAAGACTCCGGAATCCGGATTGCGGCAGGGGGGGGGGTCCAAGGTTGGAAAGAAGGTGCTTGTAAGCCTATGGTGGAGATTTTGCGAGGAAGACCCCCGAAGTTGCATGCTCGCCCACCCTCGGAATCTCTAAGATCGCAAGCTCCTTCGAAGCCTTGGCGTCAGAATGTAGCGGCTCGGCTTAAAAAAATACCTACACTGTGTTGGGGGGGGGGGGGTCCTTGTTTCAATGATAGTATAATGGGCCCCAAAACCCTGTTCTAATTATTAAGGCCCCTATAGTGGTGAGGCTGCCTCTCGGTACTTGTTGCACCTCAACGCCCTAAACCCTCTAAGCTTTACGGGATTCGTGGCGCCTCAGCAAGCGACGGCTTGAGGAGGAGCTCCTGTAGTGTGGACAGAGGAAGCCCTCGTGCTGAATCCAATGACCCTGCAGCCCTCAATCTTCTACCCGATTCTACCGTAGCCACAGGAAAAAAAGTATAGACTTTATTTCATAATGGTTCCTTTAAGGAACAGGTACCAAAAAAGTATTCAAGTATGGTACTCCAGAAACAAGGCTTCGGCTTTAAGAATCACTTCGGCGAAGAGTCTCCTCGCACTAGTTTGCTGCTGCAGGTTTGGAACGAATTTGCAAGCCCTCTTCTGGACCGCGAACCCAAAGAGATCATCCAAACCTCCTCTTCGTTAAGCGCTCCTGGGCGAGTGCATATCCAGCGGTGCCGATGTAGAGTAGCCTGTCACGGAGGAGATGCTCAGTGATGCTGATGATGCTGATGCTGATGATCGTGGTGATGATGATGGTGGTGATGATGATGGTGGTGATGATGATGGTGATTACACCAATGATGGCCATGGCCATGACGGCTGTGGTTTTGGTGACGACGAGCAATGGCAGTGGCGGTGGCAGCGGCAGAGGTCATGGCGGGGAGTGGTAGCAGTAAAAATGCCGGTAGTGGCAAAAGTGGTAGTGGTTGGCTTCTAGCAGCTCTATTGCAGATTGATCACCGAAACTCCCGAATCCCCACACCGATGCTAGGCCTACTCTTTTGGCGGCATGCTGTTGCCGGAGAACCCCGAAACTTGGAGCCAGGATCAAGCTCGAAGCCTGAACCGCACACCAAACCTGGACTCTTGAATCGAACACGGAAGGCTCAATAACCATACCAAGGGTGTTGGGGAACCAAAAACTTGCGCTTACATGCTTGTCAACCCTATCTGCAGGGCAGAGGGCCAAACTTGCTCGCCTCATGGCCGCGTAGGAAACCTCATGGCCTGGTAGAGACAGCATTTTCGCCTTTCTAGTCCTACGTTTAGGTTTAGAACCCTAAGCTCTAAACGCTAAACCTTAAGCCCTGACTTTTAAGTCCTAATTCCCCGATGCCTTCGGAGTGCGTTCAAGTCGGCTTTTGTGGCTCGAAAGTTCGGAAATCTGGAATACGATCGTTGCTTCTAGAGCACAGAAGCTGTAGCGTTTGCTGGCTTGAGGCTTTGTCTGACAGTAATGAGAAGACGCGCGAGAAACATGGGAAAAAACGAACCATTGCTTTCTAGTAAACACCGTAATGATGTGCACGAGGATGACATTGCAACGCCAATATGCTAGAAACAACAGCCCAGAAAGACAGAACTGAGGACAGAAGCAAAAATGGGAGGCTTATAGCAATGAAAACAGCAACGCCAATACCCATACCAACAGTTTCCACGGAACAGCAGTCTTGACATGCATACTAACAAGCAACGGCAGCAAGAACGACAACACCACAAATTTCAACAGCAGCAACCTCAACTATAATAGGGTGGAGCACAGGAAAGCAGCCGCAAGAGCGAGCTGTACCAATCATAGCAGCGCAACCTTCAAGCCTTGACGAAAGCTGGGCTGTGGGTTTAGTTCTTAAGGAGATGAACTTCTTAACTTCCTCCTATGAGGGACATGATAAAACAGAGATGCCTTCGACTAGACAGACCTTGCTAAACTGAAACACTCCGGTGTCTCTCCCAAAACCTGGCACTCCTGATGCTATTAGAACTGACGGGGTTACTATGACTACTGTGAATGCTGACTGCTACTAGATGGGCTTGACACATGGGTTCATGGAGGTGGCATTAACATCCAGTAGAAGCCCCCCAACAACCGCACACACAACACGGAGTGAGCCTTGCCGGTATGGCCGTTTGCTCTGCCGGAGGAGTTGATACTGTCAGGCACAAGACGGCCGCGGGCTTTCGAACGTAGGCATGGATTTTGTTGCAGGCCTTGTCCAAAAGGTTGTGGACCCCAGTATCCAAGCGAACGGCTTAAGAATCCTCGTTCTTATTACTCTACTTCTTACAATCGGTACCGCTACTCTTACTGACGATGCTGAAAATAACGGCAAGCATTGCCACTGCCATTACCATGCTGACTGTCGCTCCGGTTTTAGCTACTTCGAAATAATGCGCTTTCCACCACTGATGCTTCAGACACGACAGCCAAGAGCACCCACCCTGCTTTGGGGCTCGGATTGGGGGCGTTTGAGGCTACTCGCTGCGCATGGATTTCGAAAACACTGTGACAGCCGAGATGGAGTCAAGCACTGCAAGCAGAGAGACCCCCCAAAACCAACGAACGCCCCAACTGCAGGCTGGACCTCGAAACGATGGTATCGCAATCTTCGCAACAACAAATCCGCAGTCCTTGAACGCCCAGTACTCCAAGAAGAGAGCAACCGCAGCTATCCTGAGCACGAAGAAACGCGTCAGATTCGGAAGCCCAGGCTAGGCCCGCACTCTTAACTTTGTGTCACGGATTGCAAGCAGCACTTTCTAGCCAGAGAAACGAAACACAAGATGTTCACCATGGCTACATAGAATGGTCGTGTACAATCATACGATCATATACAAACGTGCTCGTGCATACCTTACATCCGCATTACTTTACCATTACACTGGCATTACATTACCATCACATTACATGACATTCACATTACATTCAAATTACATTAGCAATACATCCACATTACATTACCATCACAATACCGTTACAATAATCTTACACTTACATTACCTTAACATTGCATAACATTGCGTTAACATTACATGAGCATCCCGGCAGAACTGCCGTGGCATTACACCACATTAACAATACAATAACGTTTCACCCAAGTTACAATAACGTTGCGATTTCATTACTTTAAAATGACATGCATATTGGCTTACCACTACACTCAATTCAGGTTGCATTGCGTTGTGTTACATGATGTTTCATGTAATGTCGCTTGATCCTTGAACTCATGGATCCATCCTCTTCTTTGCCTCATCTCACTCGCTCCATGCCTTCATTTCATCTCTGTTCCGTTCACTACGGCTCCTAGACCCAAGAATAACCTGCCCTTGTTGGTTTAAAGGGGCTTATAAGGGAACCTGAACCCTTAAAAAGGGAATAAGGGCCCACTCTAGGTCCTAGGTTCGTCTACTCAATCGTTCAGTCCTTCACACACTCATTCAATCAGACTGTGAGCCTGTCAGTCAGCCCTACGTACGAACATATTTGTACGGATATATATATATATATATATATATATATACGTATATGTATACACGGATAAGTAGATGGGGCCATCGGCGCCGGAAGATGCTGCTCATACAAGACACAGGGGCAAGACCCGTAATATGCCTTAAATCCCATCTGACCCAACTTCTCTCGAAACCCCTGAACTCATCCGTCCAACCTCGAAACATTCCTGCCCTCCCAGACACTTAACCACCTTCATTCCTGAACCCGAAATCCCTAAACACTGCCCATATAACTAAACGTCTAAACGTATCGCAAACCTTTGGCCCTGAATCCTGCGGATTAAACTTAAAACACTAATCCCAAAAACCTTAAATTACTCTGAACCTAAATACTAATCCCTAAACCTTCAACGAATCTAAACCTGCATACTAACTCCTAAAACCTTCGACTGCGCTACATAAACCTAAATACTACCCCCGACTACACTAAACCTCAATACTGACCCCCAAAACCTTCAAACAAATACTAACCCCTCAAGCCCTAAACTACTCTATACCTCAATACTACAGCCTGCCCAGGCACAGGATGGCATAGGGCCACATTGGCATGAAGATGAAACCCAGAAGGAACGTCAGCCTCGGGGCTCCATCTGTCTAAGGTTTTGGAGTTTAGGGCTTAAGGGTTTAGGATTTTGGGCTTCGGGTTTAGGGGTTTAGGGGTTTAGGGTTTAGGGGTTTAGGGTTTAGGGGTTAGGGCTTTAAGGTTTAGGGGTTTAGGATTTTGGGCTGTTTGGGGTTTAGGGGTTCAGGGGTTTAGGGTTTCAAGCAGTGTCCGGTGGATTTTATACTGGAAGGAAGAAGGAATCGAACTAATTAAGGTGCCTAAACTCAACCCCTAACCCCTGAACCCTAAAGCCTAAACCCAAAACCCCAAACCCTAAGCCTAAACCCTAAACCCTGAACCCTAAACCCTAAACCGTAAACCCTAAACCCTAAAAACCCTAAACCCCTTAACCCCTAAACCCTAAACTGCCCGGGCCCTCAATCCGAGAACGTTTCGGGCGGCGGAAGCCTAAGTGCTTTGAATCCCTGAACGGTCAAACAATATTTACATCCCCATATGGGTTTAAGGTTTAGGGTTGTGTTGGCGTTTTGCCCTCGTGTCTTTTAGCCATTGCATCCAGGGTTGAGGGTCTAGGAACTAGGGTTGAGCCGTTTTTACATATGTGTCGAGTTCCGGTTTCGGAAGCGGGGTTTCGGCTCTATGGTGCATGATCAGCTTTACGACTGTGGATCCTTCTTCAAAACCAGAAGTGCCCTAGTTTGGGGACTTGTCAGAGGAAGTCTGCCAGTCATAGTCGAGTTGTAAACCAAAAGGCCCCAAACCCTAAAACACCCGAACCCATAACCCCAAACATCCCCCAAACCATAAACCCCCTAACCCTAAATAAACCTGAGAACCCTAAAGCCCTGAAGCCCTCTACCATTCCTCATGCTAACCTTCTTAGAGCCTTCATAGTCGCCCTTACAGAACCCCAAACCAGTCAAGGCTCAAGACTTTCGCAAAGGGCCGTGTCTGATCCATATCAGGCAGCTCGAAGAAAGCCTGGTACCTCACGGCTCTCAGACCGCTTTCATTTTCTATACTGAACTTAGAACCCTAGCAAAAATGATAATTTTAGCTGTTTCTTAGGAATTATAATAACCAAAAATTAAAAAATATTTCTAAGTACCCCCAAGTTTTGGGGTTCAGGGTTGAAAGCGCCTTGATGTAGAGTTTCGAGATGCTTAGAGTTTATTATGGCTTTAGGGAGAATCACACGCATAGATTTGCGATCCCTACTAGAGTTTGCAGCTGACATGTGCAAGATTTCCGAATGGCAGCTGGGAGTGACACCATGCACTGCTCTTGAAGTGTCCGTCGAACGCACTACACAAATGTTCGGCTACCGGGGCGGTAGTTGTGGTGGCTTGTCGTCCTCGTGGTCACCGTCCCGTCGGAGACGTAGTACTCATCGTTGGAGCAGCAAAAGATCTAGAAGCCTCTAATCATCGTAGGCATGGCAGCGGTGGCAGTTTTCCTCGCAGTCGTTGTCGTTGTCGTTGTCGGAGCTGTGGCTGCGGTGGTACTCGTAGTAATCGTGGCAGTGGGGGGCTGAATCGTTAATGATACAGCCCCCGGTGAGCCCATGTATAACTATACCGGAACATACGCCCAAACCTTATTGTTGTTCAGGCCAGAATACCAGAACCATCAGAGCCCCATAAACACCCATAAAGCTCTTAAAGTACACAGGCCCGGAATTCTTCAAAGAGTGATTCAAACGGCCCTCCATGGCCCGTCCTTCTCTGCGTGAGCCCCGGCGGGGGCTCGTCCAGATCCAGCTTGGAGTCTCGAAGAGTCCGCCTCTCGAGTTAAAGCTTTTTTTGGTAGGTTTTAGAGTTTAGGGATTATTGTTTAGGGTTTAGGGATTAGGGTTTGTGTAAGCTCCTTTTTGGTTTGGGTTTCCGGGGGTAGAGTTTACGCCTTCGGGGGTTCAACGTTAGGTTTTTCTGAACGCCTTCTTCAACGTCAGGCTTAGTGTTCAGGCTTAGGCTTTAGGGGCCTTCTTGAGTTTTGGGTTCGGGGCTGAAGGTCCTCGGTTTTCAGATTGAGGGTTCAGGAATCGGGACACAGAGTGTGAAATACACCACGGATCACTACGCTATCACCACGAAATAATGCCTGTTCAGGCGTCGTAGCACGTCGTACCAGGACCACTGTACCATGCGCACGCACATGTTCATTCCACCACAGGGCCGATATGATCCGATATGGTAACACCGTGCAAAAGGCATTTCAAAGTACGTGCATAAACCACACCCCTTGCCAAGGCTTGGCTGAAGTATGCGGCATCACTGAGGCGATGCACGGCCTACCCGAAGGGCGGCCAGATCGGCTGACATATTGAAGGGATAGGCGGCTCGCACGTTGCATGCACATGCAGGACTTGGGTGTTTAGGGTGGTTTCTCGCGAGCATGTTGAGGCATCAGCACCCAAAAACACACACGCAACCCCAAAGGCCTTCTCTCTTTCATAAACCCACGAGCCCAAAGCCTAAGCCTAAATGAAACCGCAAAACCCTTCCAGGGCGGGCGAGGTCTTGGGGCAGCCCCTAACATGCCAGATTGCCACAGCCCTGCTCCACAAGACGAGGTAAGGTACTTGAAGGAGGATGGTTTGTGAAGTAGAGGTCTACCCACTTCTGAAGGAATCTGGCCCGAAAACCCTAAACCCCTAAACCCTTAAACCCTAAACCCCTAAACCCTTAAACCCTAAACCCCTAAACCCTTAAACCCGAAACCCCTAAACCCTTAAACCCGAAACCCCTAAACCCTACACTATTGAAGTCACTATTTTATGAGGCATCTGACCAGCTCGCTCCCTGGCCCTGAACCCCCCTTGGCCTCAGCAGCAGCTTGCAGCCAAAAGCGATTTGCAGAGGAATGCTTATGCAGTTGATCCTGAGTTCTTTGTCTTTTGGGAGGGGTTCTGTTAGGCTCTACTTCGAAGGATCTCGACAGATTGCTATTTTCAGGGGTCCCGTAGAGTCTGCTCAAGATCTGTCAAGGTTTGCCCTACAGCCCACATGCACTAAAAGCTAGTCCAGGGTCGAGGGGTCAAGCTCCTGACAAATCTCTGACAAGACAACCTCGCGGCAGTGTAGAGTCTCGCATCAGATTCCACACAAAACTTCCCTCCTCCGGTGCCCTATTTCGCTACATATCTAGCAGTCGTGACCCCGCTCTCACCCCTGCCAAGCCACAGCATCAAGGAAGAGATGTCTGAGACCAGCCCGCCAACCGTATACCTCGGTGCTCGAGGATGACGGGTCCACAGCTTCACGGCAGGGCGGAAGTTTGCGGCCCGCAGTCCCCACGGCTTCAGGATTCAGGGCTTCAGGCCCAGAGCTTCGGGTTCACGGATCCCATTTTTTCTGGGGCTTAACACTGTCAGCTATCACCCTGTGCCTCTCTCTGTGCCACGCACCGCGAACTCCTGGTGTGTAGTAGTAGTAGTAGTAGTAGTAGTAGTAGTAGTAGTAGTAGTAGTGGTAGTGGCAGCAGCAGCAGCAGCAGTAGTAGCAGCAGCAGCAGCAGTAGTAGTAGTGGTGGTGGGAATAGTAGCAGTAGCAGTAGCAGTAGCAGTAGCAGTAGCAGTAGCAGGCGCAGGCGCAGGCGCGGGCGCAGGCGCAGGCGCAGGAGCAGGAGCAGGAGCAGGAGCAGGAGCAGGAGCAGGAGCAGCGGCAGCAGCAGCAGCAACAGCAGCAGCAGCAGGAGTAGTAGTAGTAGTAGTAGTAGTAGCAGTAGTAGTAGGCGGCGTAGTAGTAGTAGTAGTAGTAGTAGTAGTAGTAGTAGTAGTAGTAGTAGTAGTAGTAGTAGTAGTAGTAGTAGTAGTAGTAGTAGGCGTAGTAGTAGTAGTAGTAGTAGTAGTAGTAGTAGTAGTAATTGTTGTGGTTGCTGCTCTTGTTGTTGTGATTCGAGGCACCACTCTCCCTTCGCCGGATCCCAGTTGACCAGGACAGCGATCAGGCAGTAGGCCATCCTGGTTCCAGAGCTGCTCAGCAACCGTAATAATTAGAATAGGGTTCCTTCAAAGGGTTCCCTTCTAAGGGTTATGATAAGGTTTTAGTAGTGAGGTCTAGTCTTTTAGAATAGGGTTTTGGTTGTTTTTTGCGGTAGTTAGAAGAAGGCACCCCCAAAACCCTATCTCATGTATTAAGGCCTCCATTACTCAACGCATCAAGGACTTTCATGGGGATGCAGTAGCAATGGTCATATCATGTCGTATCTACTTAAAACCCAAAAAAGGTTTTTGCAACCCTGCTTGCTAAGCCTCCCCTCTGAACATGTAAGTAGTTCCGTTGGCTTGGTGGTTGGTACCGAGGCCGAACTTGACCCATGATTTTAGTCTTTATACTACGGTTGATGATACAAATCCTGCATTGCCCATAATAGGGAATATGTGGGAACTATGGTCTATTATTCCTTATTATGGGTCATGCAGGATTTATATCATCAACCGTAGCTCGTGGTCCATTGCCAAAGACGTAACTGGTCGCCAAAAAGACAGCAAGAACTGAGCAAATCCCAGTTGATAATTGTGTGTCTGATTGCCTGGTTCATGTGCTGAAGCGCCCTGAGAGACATGCAACCAGCATCGTTCCGACAAAAGGCGCTGACAGAACAGAAGCAACCCCTGGCCTAACGACGGCTGAAATGGTAAGAACCGCATACTAACATCCTACACGAAACCTTGAAGCCCGGAACAAGTCGGAAGAACACAACGCTGCCGAGCTCAACGACCTTTGCCGACCAGGATCAAGTAAAAGAGCGCGAGTTTGGCCAGCAGGGAAACATCTCGTGTCGTCTTTGTCCTTGAAAACATCACAAACCGCGATAAAATCACCAATAGGGATGCTTCAGAGCCTCGGGTTCGAAGACACGTTGGGTTTTGGGGTAGGGCCCCTATGCGCATATTGGATATCGACGTTTTGGTGGGTAAGACACTACGCTAAAGAAATAAGCGAAGGCAAAGGCTTCGCGGCCAACCAAAGCTCCGTTGTGACGATAACGAAGCAATGCTGCTGGTACTGCAACTGGTGATGATGGACGGATGATCTTGGCAGGAGATTATGCGGTGAGAACACTGCTGACATTGATGCTGATGATGACGGCTAGCAGCATGATGACGATGGCGAATGATGGCGATGATAGCGAAGGTGAAAATGATGCTGCATATGTGCTGATGTGACGATGCGCTGATGCTCGTGGTGATGGTGACGGTAGACGCAATGGTGATCACGGTGATACTGCTCGCATGCAGATTCATTCCAGTAGTGGTGCCAGTACATGCGGCATTGCTGCTACCAATACTAGTGTCATTCAAATCGTTTTTGTTCTCTATTCATGTCCAGTCCGCGTCGTCGTTGTGGCGGTGGTCGTGCTGGTAGCAACAGCCATAGTAGCAGAGCAAATGCTAGTCGTACTAGCGTGCAAGCGGTGGTCGCCACGGCAACAGCATCTGGTGATCGCCACGGCAACAGCATCTGGTGGTCACCACGGCAACAGCATCACTACTGGTGGCTGCTGGGTGATGCTGCTAGCTGGAATTTCCCGCCCTGCCGTGAAGATGCGTGAAGTAGTGGTCACTATTCAGGAATGATGGAGCAACAATCGTCGTCGCGGTCGCCATCGTCGTCGACGTCGCAGTAGTAGTCGCCGTCGTCGTCGTAGTCCTGCTGGCCGCGAATGGTAGCATGCAGGTAGTAGTCCTCGTCGTGATTTTGGGGCCTCACTAATTAGAATTGGGTTTCGGGGTATAGTATACCATACATATAATCAGGAACCCCCAAAAAATGGTGGTGGTATTTAGGCCCCCATAGTGATTAGTAGCCCTCGTCGTAGATGGTTCAAGGTCTTTTCTAAACCCCCATAATACCCCTTTTCGTAATCCCCATAGACCCCTTTAAAAAGGAACCCCCAAACAGTATTGGTAGTTATTAAGGCCCCTAGAGTAAGAAAGCTGATGTTATAAATCCTGCATGACCCATAAGAAGGAATATACCATAATTCCCATAGTCTAGGGTCCTTAAGGTCATGCAGGATTTATATCATCAACCGTAGTTATTAAGGCCCCTATACTAAACCCCCATAATACCCCTTGTAGTAATCTTATAGACCCGTTTAAAAGGAACCCTGAAAGTAGCTTAAGGCCCCTATAGTACAGTAGAAGCCCAAAAGTTGGAAACCCAATAGCCTCAGTCCTTAAGAGTAATGTAAAGGGAATCCCAACACTGTTTGGCCTTAATCCGGTTTCCAACTTTATGGAGTTTACTGTAAGTAGTTCAAGCGCTTTTCTGCCTCAGAGCCGCTCGTGCATCTGCCGCATCACCCGCTGCCTCGCAACAGCAAAGCGTTCCCACAGCTTAGAGGTTTAGGGCTTTTGGGGATTAGGGTTTAAAGGTTTGGGGTTTAGGCACGGTTTAGAGGTTCAGGGTTTAGGGGCGTAGGGTTTAGGGTTTAGAGGTTTAGGGTTTAGGGGTTAGGGTTTAGAGGTTTAGGGTTTAGGGATTAGGGTTTAGGGATTAGGGTTTAGAGGTTTAGGGTTTAGGGGTTAGGGTTTAGAGGTTGGGGATGAGGGGGTTTAGGGGTTAGGGCTTAGAGAGTTTAGGGCTTAGGATCGTTCAGGGTCTCAAATTCGCACAGACTAAAGCAGGCTCAGGTGCTCCCACGCTGGCGAGGCAGGTTCAAGGGCAATGTAGTATGCGTGAATCCAAGGGTAAAGGGAGGGACCCATAATAAGGACCCCTAGGTATATACCCTTAATATAGCTATTACATACATTGGCGCAGTACCCATTATATAGCCCATTACAGGGTAGGGGTCCCCATTAAGGGTCCCTCCTTTTCCCCTTTGGTAGAAGGTGGCTCCGGATCTGAACTTGGAGAACTGCGGGCAGCAAAGGCAAAGCTCGACTGCCAAGGACTCATGACGGTTAGGGTTCGGGGTTTCTCATACCTAAACCTGATGCCCTACAACCTGAACCCGGAACCCTAAACAACGTCTAAATCCTCGACGATAACGACCCCAAGCCCAAAGACCTCACGAGCCCTGAAGCCTGAACTCAACCCTAAACCGCAAAACTCTAAACCCCAAACCCTAAACCCGAATGTTATTATCTAATCTAATACCAGTACTAATACTAATGCTAGGGTTTAGGGTTTCGGGAAAATAAAGTTTACAGCCTAAACACAAACGTAACCCCGAGCCCCTAAATCCTAAAGCCTGAACCCTGAGTCGAAGAACATCAAGCGTCAAAGCTGTCGGTAACATTTAGGGCCCTATATCATAGCACCCCTTATGGATCCCTTATAGAAACCCGTATAGATCCCTTTAAAGGGAACCCTAAACCCTAAACCCCCCAAAATAGCTACAGGCAGCTGTCCTCAAAGTGCGAGAGGCCCACAAGCGCGTGAGCATCACCACCAGAGCGACGAGAAGACTCCTTGATGATGCCATTATAGGGCTCGGGGTTTAGGGTTTAGGGGTGTGGGGGTTTAGGGTTTAGGGGTTTAGGGTTTAGGGCTTAGGGGTTTAGGGGTTTAGGGGTGTAGGGGTTTAGGGTTTAGGGTTTAGAGGTTTAGGGTTTAGGGTTTTGGGGTTTTGGGTTTAGGGCTTAGGGGTTTAGGGGTTTGGGGGTCTGGGGTTTAGGGTTTACAGCTTAGGTTTTGAGTCGAGGGTCTAAGGTTTAGAAATGAAGAAGATCGAATACTCCAGTAGCCATACTATAACAGCGAGGACAACAAGTACAGGAAGTGTGAAATCCTGTCACCTAAACCCTAAACCTTAAGAGTAACGGGGTCATTGGAGTTCTGGGGCCTACACCATGAACCCTAAACCAAAACGTCGCACGACTCGTTCTCAGTTTTTTCGCAGCCCGCAATGAGAGCGACGCGTTTCAACTCTAACCCACATATGCCCAGCCCTCTACTTGGAGGTTCATGGGTTGTTTTTAGTGAGGTTATAAGTAGGATAGTTTATACTTGTAACCCATATTAGAACTACCCATGAACCTCCAAGTACCCCAAATATTGTTTCCCGAGTTGATAGGGAGACAATGCCACCGTGGCTCGAGAATGTCGCCAGCGCCCCCGAGTTGCGAGTGTTCTGAGCATAGGCCGGGCTCTCGGGATCAAGAAGTGGCTTCACACCCTGGGGTGAGAGCTTACGGCCCTAAACCCTGAATGCTAAACCCTAAAATAAGAGGTCGAGGGATAGTTCAGGGGCGACAGGGCTGAGAGGTCTCGCGGGATTGTACTTGGTTTTGGGAGCGAGGAAGTTTCCTGAGCCTTTGGTGCCCCCCAAAACTCCCTGGCAGCGATCAAAAAAACTGAGTGCCTAAGCCCTAATCCCCAAACCCTAAAGGACCGTCTGCTCAGTGCTTTGGCATAGATTCGCACCTGATGGGATAGAACCATGATCCCAAACTGCCGGCTCTCGAAAAATAGATCCACGGTTAAGGGTTATCCCGAAACCCTAAACCCTAGCATTAGTATTAGTAATGGTATTAGATTAGATAATAACATTAGGGTTTAGGGTTTGGGGTTTGGAACAAGACACCACCAGCCTGAAGACTTTCTCTAACTCGGCATTTGGAGTCAGAAATATGGGAGTTTCCGAGAATTAGGGAGTACCCTATTTTGAGGTCCTTGTAATGAGGATCCTATTCTTTAGGGTACGATATTAGGGTCCCCTATTTTTGGAAACTCCCATATACAAGTCAAGCTCCCAAGACGAGGGCCCTCAAGTTTCCCTGCGCGCCCGAAAGAAGTTGTCTCCTCGCATTTCTGGGGCCCCCCACCTTTCTTCCCAATGCCCAGTCCAATGTCCAGTTCAGTGCTACGACCAGGATCAGGCAAACCAGGAATATCCTCAGCCACGATTCTCAGTGGGAGCTTTTCGGAAGGGCTGCTAACCAATACCTAAACCCCCCAAAGTAGGTAAAATAATGGCAAAAAAAACATCATTCTAGATACTTTTGGGGTTCAGGTACGGAGTGTAGGTCTTGCGTAAACGTGATGACACTTATAAAAGTAGTTGTTGCATGACGGCCAGGTGGAAACTCTTCCTTTGGCGCGGTTGCGATAGAAGGATCCATCTGCGATTTTGTGAAACTCTTTCTGAAGCCTCAGCCCTCAAGTGGCCATAGCCTGGGGATGCCCCATAACTGCATGCTCTACGGACCTCAATCACCTCAGCTATGAGAACCTAGTTTTGGGGGACATACTCTACTATAGCTATATAGGACTATAAGGGGACATGCAGTCGAGATATACAGTTATACAGGGGCTAGAGTCGGCAAGAACAGGCCAGATGGCGTATAAGAGGGAACCAGGCTGGTCGACGACAGTTTCTTGGCGTGCCCTGCCCAAGCGAAGCCCCCAACGCCATGCGATCCTCAGCCATGTACCCAGACGCAAGCCAGATTTCATGCGCTGAGTGTCTCTGAATCCCCGTAGCTCTGATATGTCTCCTTGAGGTGTATTCATTCTGAATTCTAACCCTAAAACACGCACCCTATAAACCAAAAACTGCCAGCCCTCCAAATTGAACCCCCACCCCCCACCCCCCCCCAAACAAAAAAAAAAAAAAACAAACCCTAAACCCAAAATCCCCCACCGCCATTCCCAAAAACTCCTCAACTCTAAACCTTAAACCCTAAACCAAAACCCTAAACCCTAAACCCCAATTCCCCAAAAACTCCTCAACTCATGAACCCCTCCTGGAGCCCGGGACTCGCATAGCAAAGAAGCAAGATGAAAGATCCTCAATCCGACTCCGAAAATTTAAGAATTTTAAAAGTTTCAAACATGATTAAAATGTTGAAAATACTAGTTTTTTAATAATTGACTAACCCTGAAAAATGTGCCAAATTAGACCCTTATAGTGACAGTGATATAATGACGCTCATAGAAGAACCCCTCTAGAACCCCTCCAAGACCTCTCACATACACCCTGCTTGGCTGGAACCCTAAACCCTGAACCCTAAATCCTAAACCCTGAATCCAAATGGAAAGTCTGAGCGCCGAGGCACAGAGCGACGATACCATAGGTTTTCGCCCGTAGCCAAAGCCGCATTCGGTGCGATGTCTCGGCGTTCGGCGTCAGGCGTTGTAGGAGTAGGGCTTAGAGTTTAGGGTTTAGGGTTTAGGGCTTAGGGTGGGAGCATGACTATAAACATAGAAGTATGAGTAGCGTTTTTGCCTGAGGGTTTTGCTTGGTCTTTTTGGGGCATCGGGGCCCCATGGGTTTGGGCTATACAGGCTTTCCGGTGTGGGGTTGTAGGCCAGTTAAGACTGCAGGGTTGCAGTGGTAAGGAAATCCTGCGACTTGCCTGAAACGAGAACTGCAGGCCGTCTCAGCTACTCGACATCCTCAACGACCCATCTGCCGGAAGATTCATCCCCAATTGGTCCAAGTAATGGTATAATGATAGTGGATACTGATGGGGTCCAAACAACTACTAAGAGTCTACTATCTTTGTAGGTACATGGAACCCATTGGGCATGAGTATCTCACGTGCTGATGCAACCGGAAACTAAACCCTAGCCCTGAAGGCAAAACCTAAAACTCACCGACAACTATCGGTCGAAACCTGCTGAAGAGCACTCGCCTTTAGCCGCAGGACAAGGTTTGAAGATTTAAGGCCGCCAAAGCGAGCATGCTTCTAACCCTAAACCCTAAACCCTAAACCTTAAACCCTAAACCCTAAACCCTAAACCTTAAACCCTAAACCCTAAACCCTAAACCCTAAACCTTAAACCCTAAACCCTAAACCCTAAACCCTCGCGGTACTTTCACCTGGGCTCCCCAAGGCTGAGGTTTCAGGATTCTCGTGAGTCCGGCTCAGTAACTTCCATGATACTATATAAAAGGTTCCGAGAATAGGGGACCCTAAGAAAGTACCCGAAATAGTAGGATCCTTATTGTAAGGACCCTAAAATTAGGTAGCCCCCAATTTTCGGAAAACTCCCTATTATATTACATTGTATTATGCACAACGCTACAATCCCCGTCGCATAAACGGGTGCTTGTTCGAAGGCCGCAGCAGAAAATCAAGAAATGAGGACGCAGATACCAACGTCGGCGTCGTCGCCGTTAACAAATTACCACAAGCATTTCAATCATCACTACTGTCAAGGACGCAAGAACCACACAAGTGTAAACAAGTATCTGAACTTATCCCTTTCTTCCTTCCCCCATAAGCCCCAACTCGTAGACCCAAGCCCGAGGACAGCACGCCAAGGTTCTCCCATAGGATATCCGATGGATTGGCAGCCCGACTGATGCGAACCTGGGGAGAAAACCAAGGGGCCCGAAAGCCCAGGGCACGCTGCTCTTGTCGTTGTGGTTAATATACGGCCTTTTTGGGGTATATTCTCCTATAGTTATAATCAGGAACCCCCAAAATAGTATGTTCATGTATTAAGGCCCCTATATTCATGTTGTCCGACGGTTCTTTGCTTACAAGCGGAAGTCAGAACAACGTAACCTCGTCGAGCCAGGCGGCGCGGAGTTTAGCTTCTGCTTGCTGAGTAACTTAGTTTGAATTGCCGTAATAAGGAGGGCATACGATCTACTGCACACGTACATACATACATACATACATACAGACACAAAGACAAAAGAAAATGATTGCCGGACGGACGGGCAGGCGGACGGACGGACAGAGGGACACACGCATGTGCGTGTAGATATCTACAGACATATGTATGTGTATAACAAGTGTATGTATATATATATATATATACACACAGTATACATATATTCATGTTTGGTTTATTTGCTTATATACACATGGATTCCTTGATCGATCGATCTATCTACCTATCTGATACATACGTACATGCATGCATACATACATCCGCGCATGCATTCATACGTACATACATACATATATATGTACGTACCCATATATCCTGAACCCCATCAAGTCCTGAACCCTACACTCTAAGCCCCGCAAGAAAGCATGGGCCCCATAGTGCGGTAGGCCGTGAAGCCGAAGGGCGCAGGATTCAGGCTTCGCTAGGCCTAGAACCCCAAACCCTATAGCACCTAGAACCGTAAAATAGAAGCCAAAAAACATAAAATTGATCCGCTTGTAATCCGTAGACAAGTAAACTATGGTTATGATCTCCCCGAAGCCTACTCAGAACTATAGAGGCCCTATACTGGGGCTCTGTAATCCTGATCGGCTTTCCTGTACAGGCGAGATGCGACGTGGCGGCCCCTAAAGCGAGGCTGCCGACCTTATCTTTCTGAAGCTTAAGAGTTCAGGCGCCTACGGGTTGAGATTTTGGGGTTTTGGGTTTGGGTTTCGAGTTAAAGGCTGTGTTTTGTCTAAGCTGTCAGTTCAAGTCTCGCGCGTGTTTCACCTAAGAGCTGACGGCTTCTAGGTTGTTGCGAGGACGTGAGCTGTTTGACTAAGGGTCAGGCTTTGTGCGGAAAGGGTTGCGCTTCAAGGGTGCTTCTGCGGTTTAAACACTAAAGGCATTCAACCAAGAGTTCATGGTCTCAGACTTTACTGTAGGGCTGGGGGTTTCTCATCGGTTTCGGGTATCACTCAGAAGCCGCGTTGGGGGCCACTCTTCGCGAGGAAGTAAGACCGGACGAAGAGATGATCGAGGGGCCGTAATCTAGGGGCCTTAATCATTAGAATAGAGTTTTGGGCTCATATATACCATAATTATAGTAAGGAGCCCCCAAAATAGTACTGGTAATTATTCAGGCCCCTATGTTAATTATGAGAGAAGGGCTCTGAGGGACATTATACTATGATGCTTTCTCTTTGTGTGGGACTCGAAGGGAACAACAGTATTAGTTGCTTAGGCCCCTATACTAGTTGTCCCAGACCCCCCTGGGGCAGTTGAGCTATCCCCAATCGCGACAGCAGCCTGGTGCAAGACCCGAACAGAGCTCTAGGGTTGAGGGTTTAGGGTTTAGTAATCGCGGTTTACATGACAAGGCTCACCTGGGCTCGTGTCGGATTGAAATCCTTCTCCAAAAATTCCTCAGCACAAAAACCTGAAACTGCAAGCGCGTTTGAGAAGGTGGTAAGAAGCTGAGGACGAGGACGACAAGGCGACAGGGAAGGAGATGAGATGGCGCTGTGCACGTGGATAGAAACGAGAACGGACGATCGCAACCATGGCCAACGGAGATCGAGGTGTCTCCGCCATAGAGGATTGAAAAAGTATGAAGCACAAAGGGTGATAAGGATTGCTCTTATCGTTCACCCTGAACCCTGAGCGACGCAAACCCCGAACCACTAAATGCGTTATTTTGAGGGCCTTTCAGTGATCAGTGAAATGTAGAGCACCAACACCTCAGGTCCTGAATTGGGCTTACCGACATGCATGTTGCCGAATCAGTGGCAGGCCCCAAATCCTGAAACCTAAAGCCTTAACTCCTGAGCCCATAAGCCCCGAACCCTAAACTTGAACCCAGACCCTCAACACATACGCCTCTTAAAACCCTGAATCTTGAAGCCCCGAACATGAAATTGCGAACCCTGAATGCTTAACTCTACCCTATACCCAACCCTACCCTATCCCACGTTACGTTGAACCGTGGACCCAAATAGTCGGGCTGCTGTTGATTTTCAAGCACTGCATTGACGTCATCAACCACTCCTCGGCTAATTTATGGGCCTGAATTTTTGTGCACGTTTACAAAAGGGCTGTGGGCAATACTGATACACAGATAGCTATCTATAAATACATATATAAATATATATGTAAAGTCAGACAGACAGGTAATTAGATACATAGGTAGGAAGATGGACAAACTGACAGAGAGAGAGAGAGAGAGAAAGAGAGAGATACATAGAAGACCGACAGATAGGTAGGTAGATAGGCAGATAGGCTGCGAGGTAAGTAAAAAGATACGTAGACAGCTAGACACCCAGATACAGAGATAGACAGACAGATAGCAGCTAGATAGCTAGACAGACAGACAGACAGACAGACAGACCCGCAGACGACCGGATAGGCAGACAAACATAAAATGTGGTGATGACTTGGCTGAAGCATGACTGGAGAAGCTGACGTAGCAGCTTGCTCCAATATGTTGATTTGTCTCCAACTTCGCGAACAGAGAACCTAAACTCCACATGATCCCAATGTCGATTAGGGTTAAGCTGAAGTACCCCAAAGCTGGATTTCATAGAGCGTGGGAGTTTGGGCTTCTTCCGGGTAGTTGCGACTTAGACGCCGATTCAGTACAAAACGTCTATGCATCAGCTGCGTGCCGAAGGTCGTAGAAGGTGTCCCATTCCTCCAGCACTTCACGATGCTCGGTTTGCGAACGGAGGACCACCACCGCTTGGCCTCCAGAGGCAGACGAAAAGAGGCCTGCTTCCATCCCCTACTTGGAGGATCATGGGTAGTTATAAGTGGGGTTATAAGCCCCCTAATGTGAGTTATAAGTATAGTTATCCTACTTATAACCCGATGTATAACTACCCATGAACCTCCAAGTAGCCTACAAGAACGTCCCTTGCAGCTCCCCGTGATTTCCCGTCCCTTTCATGCCGCTTGACTCTCTGTGACTCTCGTGTTGATGCGAATACCAAAAAGTTGTACTTGCATACCAATACAACTTTAAATACTAATACTACTGCCAATGTTCATATTAAGACTATGTTACTATGTCCTCACAAGCGCCGAAGACCAAGAGACGAGTCGACCAGCCAGCCTGTGCAGGGCAGCTGGCTCCGCAAAGTCCCCGAAGAGCTGGCGATCAGCGGCTGTTGAAATGCTACAACATGGGGGCCTTAATGATTAGAATAGGGTTCGTTTACAGCGTTCCTTTATAAGGGGTTTAGTATAGGGGCCTAAATAATTAGAATAGGGTTTTGGGGGGTTTCTACACTAGACTTATGATAATGATCCCCCAAAAAGACTGGTAGTTAATGAGGCCCCTATATTACCACGACAGTTTGGGCTCACTTACTTCTCTATGTATATGATTACTGCCAATGCTACTCTTGTTTATTTCAGCTACCATTAGTGTAGGAACCTGAGTAACAAACCCTGGGCCTGTAACCCCAAAGTAATTAGTAGGACTCATATAAAGAACCCTAAAGAAGACCCAGGGTTTCTTACTCAGGTTCCTACATTATGCATATCTTCCCCATCCTTGTATGTACTACTCCACACAGCTACGTCGCCGCTCCGTGATCATGTTGATACAGTACTAGTGTTACCATCTTCATTTACCCGTTGTTGCGTCATCACGCATCGAATGTGCAAGCTGAACTACACCCTAAACCCCAATCCCAAACCATGGCCCAGCATGGACTTGCCATCAGCCATTTCTTGTCTGCCTTCATCCAACAGTCAAGGACATGACCTCTGGCTAAGCAGTGCCACCTTCAAACCTCAAATCACCCAGAACCCCAAACCGTAGAGTAATGAACCCCTCAAGCCTAACCTCCCTAACCCTAAACCCGCAAGCCACCTCCAGGGCGCTCGGAGTTCCCGAAGACGCGCCTTTTTGGGGGCTTTAGGCTTTAGAGGCTTCTTTTCGATTCTGGGACGTTGAGGGTTTCCACTTGGGTTTTGGGCTTAGGGTGCAGGACGGAAGGGCTTCAGGTTGCAGGATTTATGGATTCTCGAGGCCCAAACCCTAAGCTCCAAAGCCCTCAAGCCATCACATCTTCCAGATTCAACCTCATACTTCGCATACTACATACTATATACTAAATACTATAGTGTCTCACTACTACCCTAAACCCTACACCCTAAACCCTACACCCTAAACCGTACACCCTAAACCCTACTAGAACTTCAGCCACAAAGCACCTCCAGAACCTCCTTCTCGCTCGGGCTGGCCTCTTGCAGCTCCTCTCGCGCGCGAGAAATCGGATGCTGCGGCCTTTCGGTTCTAGTCTTGGTTCTAGGGTTTAGGGTTTCGGGTTTCAAGGTTTAGGGTTTAGGGTTTAGGGGTTTAGGGTTCAGAGGTTTAGGGGTTTAGGGGTTTAGGGGTTTAGGGGTTTAGGGTTTAGGGTTTAGTCTTTAGGGTTCAGGGTTTCGGGTTTAGGGTTTCGGGCTTCGGGCTTGAATCTACCTTGTGAATCAAAAGTCGGGGATTGGAGAGCCCATGTTCGAGCGTGCGGGGGTGATGGTGATGACCATGGTGATGGTGACTCTTCAGAGAAGACTGATGACGATTCTGATGACCATTCAGATGATGATTCTGTTGATGCTTCTGATGACGCTTCTGATAACGCTGCATATGACGCTTCTGACGTTTCCGATGATAGAGGAGGAGGATGAGGATGAGGAGGAGTATTCCCAAAAGTACTTCTAGTGCCAGGCACTGTGAGTGACAGTTGCCATGGAAGAAACTACCAGTCAATGTAGAACCTGAATATCCTAGTATATGGGCCTTAATAACTAGAGTAGGGCTTGAGGGGACCCATTATACTATGATTATAATAAGGAGACCCCCAGAATAGTATTGGCATTTATTTAGGCCCCGATATTATAGATCCCCAATGGAACCCTTTGAAGGAACCCTTTAAGATCCCTTTAAAGGAACCCTTTATGTAGGCCCATGGATTAAAACAGTGTGGCAGAAGCTGTCCTCCTTCGTCTCCTTTATGTCTGCCAACATCGACTGGAACTTTGCCATGTCGTATGAAATTACAACCTGCGGTGACTTGTCACTTGGGCGGCTTAGGATTTAGGGTTTCGGGGTTTAGTGTTTCGGGGTCTAGGGTTTAGGGGTTTAGGGCTTTGGGTTTTGGGTTTGGGGATCTTGAGGGCTCATGCTTCAAGTGCAGGGTAGGGTAGTGCAACACTTTAAGGATCACAAGAGGACGGAGTTAACCGGAGCGTTGTGACTCCAGGCCTTGTCGGTTCGATACCACCCTTGCACCTCAAACGCAAAGCCTTGAGAGGCCACACAGGAACACAGGGCAGATCCTCCCAGTCATCAAGGTCTCATGGGCTGTAGGGCTTAGGGTTCCGGGTTGTGGGTTTAGGATTTACGGAGGGTGGAAGCTCCAACTTCAGGCTCTTGAAACACGAGCACAGATGGGGAAGACGCACCTGCGGTTGCCTTTCCAGCAAGTGTGCCAGGCAGTGCCAATACTGCTACTTGACTGAAGTGGCTTCTTCTAAGGTGCAGGGTTTCTTTTCCACGTCTGGAAGGAAACGCGGCTTCTGCTTTCGGATTATCCTTCCCCCACTAGACTTCAAACCCTAAACAACCGCTGCAGCTTCGAAATTCTGCTCACACAGGCAAGGGGCCATTACAACATCCGTGTCCTCGTTCTCCCTGCCGTTAACCTCCTCGGCTTGGACGGCTGCAGCTCGAAGACAACACAAGTACCCATGTCAACTGCATGCTTCATGTGAGTTGAGTGACACTACACTCCTAAGTCCTAGTTCGCACTTTCCTCCCATCAAGTACAGCCTGTACTCCGTCTTCGACACTGAGAATGCTCTCCTTCCGAATGAGTACAACATGATTGTCAAAAGCGTAATCATGATCACCATCGAATTCGTCATCATCATCCAACCATATCATCGTCATCAAAACCACCACAAACCCGCTTGCGTCATCGACATCATGACCACCATCCTCGAAACACTGATCGTGGCCCCAAGAGGCCCTCTGAATAAGGTGCCTGCTGCCAACATATGGGAGTTTCCGAAAATAGGGGACCCTAAAATAGTACCCTGTATAGTAGGAATCTATATTATAAGGACCCCAAAATAAGGTACCCCCTAGTTTTCGGAAACTCCCATATCGCTGACGAATTCTGCAAGCAAGCCACGATAAACTGCTTGATCTCCTCCTCCCTGCCAAGCACACACTTCGCTTGTGGGGATTTCTGACGACCGTTTAGTTCATACCGCTGATGGACACGTGTTCATGCTAGCGCTGGCCTCATTAATGCACTTTTTGCCGGCGTCCGTCTGTCATAGGGGAGGCAGGACGGTGTTGCGGAGTGATCTGAACAAACGAATGGTAAACAGATCGAGCATCGCCTGTAAAAAATTATCAAAACGTCCGAAGAGAGCTCCTAAACAATCCTGTTCTTAGGGTTCTGGCCTCTATCTGTAATATATAGTAATTTTTGTGTCTGTATATATATATATATATATATATCATGAAAATAACCATACTGAAAATAGTAGTAATAGTCATAACAATTATATACAACTAAAAACATATGTGTACATATATATATACACACATGTATGACTTTGGGCGAGGACCTCAGGCTTGCAGACTGCGGCGCGAAGGCCTCACGTCCTCCGGCAGACCTTCGACGAAAAGGGCGAAGTCGTCCGGGTGCACGTGCCTGTAGGGTTTAGGGCTTGGGGTTTAGGGTTTTGGGGCTTAGGGCTTAAGGTTCAGGGTTTAGGGAGGGCTTAGGGTTGACTGCTTAGGCTTCAGGGTTTAGGGTTCAAGGTTCAGGGTTTAGGGTTTAGGGAATGCATCTGCTATGTGTGAGTGCAGCATGTACATGTATGTATGTGTACGTGTGCATTCGTGTCTGTGTAGGTATGTATGCATGCATGTACATATGTACATGCGGGTTTCCGAAAACTAGGGTACCTTACTTTGGGGTCTTTATAATAAGGATCCTACTATCTAGGGTACTGTATTAGGGTGCCCTTTTTTTCGGAAACTGCCACATGTGTGCATGTATATGTCACAATCCCTAGCTTCAACAGCTTACCCGAATGTAGGGGCCTTCATAATTACTTCCTTTAAAGGGTTCTTTGACAGGATATGATAAGGGTGTAGTATAAGGGTCGAAACAATGAGAATAGGGTTTGGGAGTATATTCTACTATAAGTCTAATAAGGATCCCCCAAAAGCCTATTCGAAGTAGTAAGGCCCAGTAACCCTCAGTGGTCAACCCTTGTCCTCGGGCAAGGACAATGATATCCCGACCAAATCTGGTATGGTGGCCTGAATAATTGGAATAAGGCTTTGGGTCATCTTACAGCAGAAACAGGACATAGAGACTGCAAGAAACTGCTACTATTGAAAAGGCCCCGAGCACTGAGACCTTGTGTCCAGGGCTGTGGAATTGCAGGGAACAGACCGAGCGAGTCTTGGGTTTAATCTAGGGGCCTTTAATAATTAGACTAAGGTTTGGGGGGGTATATTATACTATACTTATAATAAGGAACCCCGAGAATAATAGTACGGGTACTTATTAAGGCCCCTACATTAGGGCTTCATGTTCAAGCTGTTTGTTTTAGTGTCGCGGCACTTCCTTCTGCAAGCGACACTGTCAGGGGCTTCTGCAAGCGACAGTGTTAAGGGTTTAAGGGTTTGGAAAGGGGGACCATGCATATCCGAAGCCCGAAACCTTCGCCCCCGACGGCGAGCACCCAAGTCGAGAAGCCTAAACCTATCAAGTCAGAACCATGAGATCCTAGCAGGAGCACTGCCTCCAACCTAGATCCCCTAAACCCTTGAAGCCCTGAAGCTCTGGAGCCTGAGCACGAAAAACAAAAACATACCCGATCGGCTAGTAGGGAATGGGAGAATGGTAGCAATGGTAGTTATAATTGTACCCCATTCCTCCATTCCCTAGTAACCCAATGTAAGAAACTTGTAAGGGTGCGCAGGGGAACTTGGAAACAAGAGGCTGCCGATCCACGCGCTGCAGGGTCCAGTGCTGAAGCCTTCACAGAGTGATGATTACGAGAGGGACACTTAATGGGGACCCCTACCCTATCATGGGCTACAAAAAACGGCTATATAATAGCTATATTAAGGGTATATACCTGAAGGTCTTTATTAAGGGTCCCTCCTTTTACCCTTGGAAGTAGTCATCATGGCAGGTGCTCTTACGGTAAGCTCACGAGTGTGCTTATGTAGATCGTGTTTCAGCATGCAGGGCTTGACGGCCACGCTCGTCTCGGGTTCAAGGACAAAAGACGACAGCTTGGATAGCTCACGGCAAACCCCTGACGGCTTCCGGGCCAAAGTTTTCCAGGGAACCTGAACCCTAGACCAGCCTTAATCATTAGAATAGGGTTTGGGGATACATTACACTATACTTATCATAAGGATCTCCCAAAACCCTGTTCGAAGTATTAGGTTTTTGAGGCCCCTACAGTAAACCCCAATAACCTCACCTCTGGTTAGTAAGGAATGGAAGAATGGTACTATTGCATTCCCTACTAACCAAACCCAATGCTTCCAAGCACCTTATAGTTAGGGCCCCAGACCCCTTAAGGACCCAATAATCAGGTCCCTGGAAGTTTAGGGAAAGGTAAGTAACTCCTACCGCGCCTGGAAAACTGTGGGAGGACGAGCAACATCGCGATGGCCGTAGCCAAGGAGCAGAGCCAGGGCCTAAGAAGTGCCAGTTTTTTTCGAAGGAACCCGGAGTAGGGTTTAGGGTTTAGGTTCGCGGTTTAGGGTTTAGGGTTTAAGGTTTAGGGTTTAGGGTTTAAGGTTTCGGGTTTAGGGTTTAGGGTTTAAGGTTTAGGGTTTAGGGTTGAGGGGCTAAGGTTTCGGGTTTAGGGTTTAGGGTTCCGGGTTTAGGGTTTAGGGATCGGGGTTTAGGGTTTCCGCCCGGTAGGCCCTTGTCTAGTATAGGGGCCAAAAATCACTAACAATTTTAATAAAATAAACCCCAAAAACTCTGTTCGAAATATTTCAGGCAAACCAAGCACAACCAATCACCAACCGCAGCACGACCGCCATCAACATCAGTGCGCATCTTGGCCGAGACCACAGCACTACCATCCACCATCCGCGCAACAGTGCTCATCACACAGGTTGGCCAGTTAGCCCCAAAATGACCCCCAACTATCAAAAAGTCCAAGCGGCCATGGCGATTCTGTGCCATGTGGGCCCACATTGCCGGCAGTGATCAAATCGAAAGAGATGGGCTGGTCCCTGCTAGCAGCCGGGTGGGTGTACGGCTAAGCGTTTAGGGTTTAGGGCTGAGGGCTTCGGGGTTAGGGTGGAGGGCGCGGTCTACACCTTGAAGGTTGGGCTTGGGTGTCCGGAAGCAGGCAGCGACGATCTTCTGTCATGGAACAAGTAAAGGCTTGAGGGTCTCGAACCCAAGGTGGACCCTGCGTTGTGCGCTGAGACTTCATGCCGGAGCTCTACATCAAACTTCCGGCAGAACAAAAGAGAATCCCTCATCTTTGAAACGAGGATCGCCGCTTTAAGGACCCCTGCCTAAAGCTCCCACAGCTAGCCTCGAACCACGAGAATCTCAAAGTTCAAAAACCCAAAAGCTGCAAACCTTGAGCTCCGAACCCCCCAAACCCCCTGACTTACCGTTGGTTAGTAGAGAATGGAGGAATGGGGTATAGCTACAACTACTATTACTACCATTAATCCATTCCCCACTAACCAACGGTAAGCTGAGGCTTGCGGCTCCCGGGATCCGGAGACCCTGCAATCAGAAGCGAATGTATGGGGCCTGAACATTCAGAAGCGGATTTTGGGGTGCATTATGCTCTACTTGCAATGGGAGGTACTAGTACAAACTACTGACACTCCGCCCTTCTCGCCTTCTCGTTCCCGTGTGATTGCGCCAGGATGCCAGGTCTTCTGGCGTCCCGGCGCGGAAGAGGAAGTAAGATGGTAGCCTGGGTGGGAGCTTGTTACCCCTGCCGCGGAAGTCTGTCGCCGACCCCAAACCCTAAACCCTAAGCCCCAAACCCTGAACCCAAGAAAAAATGTTCAGGGTTTAGGGCTGAGGGCCGAAGTTCTGGACATGGCCGCCGAAAAGTATTGAGATGAGGCGATGTTTGGAGGTTGCAGGTGGAGGGGTGCAAGTTGGGGTTTAGAGCTTAGACAACAGCCTGTGGCAATGATGGTCGTCCAAACAGCCGCCATCACAAGCGCCAGAACTAGAGCTCAACTTCACCAAGACCCTGGCAATGCCCTCCACCTCGAGATGCCAACCAGGAGGTACTCCCTTGACTTTGGGCATAATGCAGGGCCCTTAATCATAAGAATAGGGCTTGGAGGGGACAACAAAATGACATTATACTATAAGTTTTGTTTAAGGAACCCCTCAAAACCTTATTCTCAACTTGTTCAGGCCCCTGCAGTACGTAGGAGGATTTTGCATTCAAGAGAACCTGGGTTGTAGTTTTGGGGCTCTGAAGAGTATTTATGAATGGGTACCTCTTTCGGAACCATAAAGAAAAATTAAAAAGTTTCCCACATTGCCACCTAGGAAGACTCTCCTTAAACCCTAAACCCTAAACCCCTAAACCCTAAACCCTAAACCCCTAAACCCCTAAACCCCTAAACCCTAAACCCTGAACCCCTCAACCCTAAACCGAGGTCTCGGAGTCTCAGGGATGCGGCCCGGCCGCTGGAGGAGGAAGAGGAAGATGCAGAGGGCCCCCAGAAACTGAACCTTGGATCAGACGGTTTACCAGTAGCCGGAAAGACCTACCTTTCTAGGGTCCCTTATTATGGTTTCTATATACAGATCCTTAAAAAGGTAGGTCTTTTCGGCTACAGGTAGGGCTTCTTAAAGGTGCATCGGACCTCTCTTAGGGCTTGGGAGCTCGTTTTTTAAGGTGCATTGCCCTTTCTCGCCGCCCAAAAGGTCACCTCTTTAGGATCAGATGGTTTAGGGTTTAGGGAGCTTAGTGTTTAGAGCGTACTGCTCGTTCGAGCATGCAGGTGGCAAGAAACTCGCGGCCCCTCAGGGATAATGCGGGGGCCTAATGTTTCTGGGCATCCTCCTCTAAGGACGAGTAGCAATGTTGATCAGTGCTGCTCGGATAGTAATAAATGGCTCTGAAAGCGAAACTCCAAACTCTGCAGCGCCAAAGATAGAATGGCATTGGACTCAGGCGGATCTGGGCCACAGAACCCGCATGTAGGCTTGATTGCAAGCGACTTTCCTGCTTTTTGGAACGCGAGCTCAAGCTCTATATACACTGACACTAATCCCCAAAATTCCAGCCCAAAAACGATTGCTCGCCTCAGTTCAATCATGTCAAGCAGTAACAACGGCAGTAGCCAGAATAAGAGAATAAGCAGTTCAGGTCTACATAGTACTCATCATAAGAGCATTCGTCGGGATATGAAGAATGGCCTTAATCAGCCAACAAGGCATGTACCCTGAACTCATATCGCTGGCAAAGGCGCGAAGTGAAAGAAAAGCACCCAACCTGCGCCCAGCTCTCCGAGATCCTCTGGCAGCGGTGACACGGGCTCAAGCGATCAGGGCTTCGGAAGTAGGGCTTGGGATACGGGATTTAGTGTTTCGGGTTTAGGGTTTGGGGTTTAGGTGCGGCTTATAGAGCCTAGGGTTTAGGCTGCAGTGTCAAGGATTTAGGATTTGTGGGTCAGGTGTTTTGCAGAGTCGGAGGGTTCAGGGTGCGGGTGGGGATTCAGGGTTGTGGGCTCAATATACAGCTCAAGGCTCCCCAGGCTTCCAGGCGAATATAGGGGCCTTAATAAAAGGGTTTTGGGGCCCAGTATACTACACTTATCATAAGCTTAATAAGGTACCCCCAAATTCGTGTTGGTAATTTTTTAGGCCCCTACAGTAGGCGGTTAAGCTCCCCTACAGTCAGCGATCGCGAACCTGCTCTTAATCATGAAAACTCTCACTTGGGGCTTGGGGTTTAGGGTATTTACTTTAATAGGGACCAGTACTAGTCGGCCGTGTGTATTGGGGAAATGGAACAATGGAACACGTTCGGAGGCGCCACACATCTTTGCAGAGTCATTTGAACCTGCAGGGGAGCCTGTAACGGTCACTGCGTTGCGGGCTCAGGATTCCGAACTTTCAAGCCCTGGGTGAATCAACAGGTTCGCCAACTGACAAACCCAAACTTCAAGAAAAGGTGATTAGCCTTGTATTTCTCCCGATGGCCACTCTTACAAAAGCTGCAGAGTCAAGAACCTCTCAGAAGGCAACCTGCCTCAACTGAAATCAAGCTGTGCCTGGATGTTGCAGAATAGGCTGAAGGGCGGTGCCTTGTTCAGGGCCTGCATAGAATGCTTATGGGTTTCGGGTTTAGGGCTGCCTGAAACCCTAAACCCCAGGCGAGCGTTTCATCATCGAAGGCTCCCAATCTTCTGCAAATCCAGAACTAGGTGCTGAACCTAAAACCAAACCCGTTTCAGCAGCCTTTAGAACCCTTGCAGCCACCCCATGAAACTCCCCAAACACCCTTTCGAAAGGTGCCATAAAATCGTTGTCGCACTCTTATGGAACCCTTCGCGAACCTCTAGCGATCGCTTGAGAGCCATTGCTTACCTTAAGTTAGTAGGGAATGGAGGAATGGGGTACAATTGCAGCTACTTAGGCGGCCGCTGTGCTTATAGCATATATAACATGAACTTATAAATGTGCTATCAGGGATTATAACATACCTAAGGTTATGTTATACATGAGGTATTTGAGTATATTCCCGTTATAAGTCATGCAAAAGTTATATATTGGATGTAACCATTTGGGTGCGTTATAACTGCACTTATGGGGTCCTCGTAGATCGCGATTATAAGTACCACGTGGCAGTTATAACTGGGCTGCGAGGCACCCCCCAAATACCGATGTAGACGGACCGAAAACCCGCCGTGCATCCATTTTTGCTGCCCCCGGAGAACCGACGTAGATCACCCGAAAACCGCCCGTTGCTTTTCCCGAAATCAGAAAGCAACACTCCGCGGATCCAATTTTTGCTTCCGAATCAGAAAACAACCCTGCATGTTTCCGCCGAAATCAACCGACCACGCATGTTTTGGAACATGCAGGCAACACCACGACGTACACGATTCTTCAACGATATAGGAAGCCCCCGCCCCGAAAACCGCACTTTTTTTCAAGTTCATTTTTTGGCCATCGCCGGGAACTCGCTTTTCATCTCCGGAAATCATGTTTACATCCAAGCCAATATATCATTTGTTTTCCGCCTCAATATCATTCTTATCATTTATCCGGTTCATGTTTTGTGCTGTCGCATGCCCGCAGGGCCGTCGCTCCGGACGAACCGCGACATATGTGGCTCCACTGCGAGGCTCGCCCGCAGAAGAAGCAGCCATTTTGGCTGCAAGAAGGGCAGCAAACAAACACTGCAGCACGCACACTCTCAGCCACACAGAGGCAGCAGCACTCTCAGCCACACAGCAACCAAACACCCACACTCTCAGCCACACAGAGGCAGCACACTCTCAGCCACACAGCAAGCAAGCACCCAAGACTTTCAGGCACGCAGCCACGCAGACAGCCACGCACAGTCAGCAAGCGAAGCACAGTTTTCCGAGGCTTCGCCCGTTTTTGACTTCGAGGCTTTGCCCGAAGGAGTGCAGAGGCGTGGCCCGCCTTCCATGGCTCGGCCGGACCGTCCAGGAGTCCTGGGCCACCTAGGTCCCTTCCCTGTGGAGGCAGGGACGCTGACCTCCCAAGACCGGGAGGAGATCCGGCAGGAGACTGGGTGCACGGTGGGAGTGCGCGGGCGGAGTCAGTGGGGCTCGAGGTGCCTCACGGTCTGCGGACCGCCTTCAAGGCTGATGGCGGCGAAGGAGATGGCGGAGGAGAGGATCGCCCACTCCGTGGGAGACGCGCGGGCGCCGAAGCCAAAGGGCCCTGCGCATGGTCCCCCTTTTGGACCACTCTCAAAGGCGGCCAACAAGGGCAAAGGCAAGGGCCCAGCCAAAGGCGCCTTTGAAGGACCGCCGGCGCCTAAAACGCCGCCGGCAGCGCCAAGGCCGCAGCCAATGGCTGCCCCGGCACCCATGCCGGGGCAGAGTAACGGGGAACTTGCGATGCAGCTCCAG